GTAAAATTTGTGGTTAGGGAAAGGGAAAATCTGGTCAATAAAAGATTCAGAGGATGTTTAAAGGAGGACTAATCAAATAAGGGTGATCAAAGTAGATGGAGAGTCTCAAAAGCAGATAGTATAAGGAAGCAGAAAGTGGGACTGAAGGGACGATTCAATTCAATTTGGTACAGTGTTTTGGAGCCATTTCCAAAGTAGCCTTATTCCATAAATATATGTTTAAATTTCATCATATTCCTTTATGCTTTTTTTCAAAACTGCAAATAGTCTCACTAAAGCTAGTTCATGGAAGGGCAGATAATAGTCTTCATTGTGCGTTGATATGTTTACGTATGGGATGAATGAAGTTGACTAAAAAACTCACGTTTTACTCTCAGGATTCCTTTTCTGGATACTGCACAATGAACCTTGTACTGTTGCCTTCTTTCAGGGTGTACAACAGAAGCGTCCTTCTGAAGCTCAAAGTGTCATTCTCCGACGCTACTTTTTGGAACTGACACAAAGCTTCATCATTCCATTAGTAAGTTAACAAATGCAGATTAGCTTTTAATGTGATGATTTCTGGAGGGTATTTAAATGTTTTCCCTGTCCTTCAGAACTTTATCTTAAGTTGTGAATTTTGCCTGCACATGGATTCAATGCTTAAAATTAGTTTTCTTTGCGAGAGCCCTGGATCCTTTGTTCTAGTATTAGCTGTGCAGCTTCGGTTCATCATTTCTTCTTTCTGACCTTCATTTTTCTTATTTGTAAAATGTAACTTATTGGATTTTCCCTAATCCTGTAAATACTATAGCGTAGGAAATCTTACGGGGAACCTCTGCTCTATTTATTGTAGAGGAGCGCTGTGAGTTAGAATTGACACATTACATAACAAGAAAACAATTGCTGGTGAACATCATGGTAGAGCTTCAAAAAGTTTGTGGAAAACTACATTTTTTTTATCACTTCTTTTTCCTGCAAACTTTATAATGCCCCTTGTATGTGGGGACAACCTGGAAATCTTTACTGGTTTATTTAGGAAGAAATATTCTTTCTTAGATGGTTATTTATTTTGTTCCATTTAAATCCATTTGTTTAAGTAAATACTCAATAGGGTATTTATTAACTAGCATTAAAAATGTATTATACAACTCATTTATAAAGTGATTTCACCATGGAAGTATATGATACGTGAATACTGTCAAGAAAACCACAAACAATAGCAACAAGAAGGAGCCATACTTGACCAGTAATTACCATAGGTAAAGGGGAAAGACTTGTTGCATAGGGGACATTTACGTTTATGTTAATGGTGGTAAAAGATTTTGGAAAAGGATATCAATAATGGCCCTCATAATGAAGAGTAAAATCAATGACTGCACTATGCAAGTAGAAGTTGTGGTGTTGGAAAATGTTCTGTTGTGTATTTTTTTGCCACAATTAGAAAAAATATATACAAATAACAATGACTACAAGGAGTAAAATGTTCTAGAACTGAATATGATGACAGTTGTGCATTTCTTGATATGATTGAATTGTATGACATGTGGATCAAGTGCTAATAAAACATAAAAGACGAATGTCAGGTGCCATCGAGTTGGTTCCGACCACAACAGACACCTGGTCCTGCGCCATCTCCACGATTGGTGTTATGTTTGAGCCCATTGTTGCCAGGGGCTGTGTCAGTCCATCTCGTTGAGGGGCTTCCTCTTTTCCACTGCCCCTCCCCTTTAGCAAGCATGCTGTCCTTCCCCAGAGACTGACCTCTTGACAACATGTCCAAAACACGTGAGATGAAGTTTTGCCATCCTCGCTTATTCTGGCAGCACTTCCTCCAAGATAGATTTGTTTGTCCTTATAGCAGTCCATGGTACTTTCAATGTTCTTCTCCAGTACCGTAAGTCAGTTATCTAAGTTTTAGTTTAATTTAAAAAAATTCTCGTGTAGAAATATGTGTAACAAAATGTTGGCCATGTTTACCATTTTACCCCTTTTTAAAAATTAAAATTTCAACTTTATTTTGATTTGAGTGGGAGCTTACAGAGCAAATTGGCTTTCCACTTAGCGTTTCACACACATTTGTTGTCATGCAGACTGCGGTCCTCCGTGTCATCGCACTCTTCCCTCTTCCTCCCTGGGTTTTCTTTTCTTCCTCCTTTTCTACACTTTAATGCTTTCTGAGCTGTATTCCTAAGCAAAAGCTGCCCTTTGATCTTGTATGATTGATTAAGGAGTGCTTACCATTTTTAAATGTATAATTCACTGACAGTCAGGTTCTCCGTATTGTGCTGCCATCACCACTATCTATTTCCAAAAGTTTCTATCATTCCAAGCATCCACTCAGTATTCCTTTGGCTGCACTCCCCTTCCTGTGTACCACTGTCCTCTCCAAGCCACCGGTTTATATGCATCTGCCTGTTCTAAATTTGTCATGTAAGTTGGATCATGTGATATTTGCCCTTTTATGTCTAATTTACTTCAGTCAGCATACTGTTTTTAAGATTCATGAAAAAAAGATTCATACATGTAGCATGTAGCATTATTTTGTTTTCCTGTATTGCTGAATAATATTGCAAGATTATAGATAATAATAATTCAAGTTTTATTTAAATGCTTATTGAAAATATAACACCCCGGTTCTATTGGAATTTAGCTATAAGCTTTGTGGGGAATGATCAATTTGTTGATGTCCATCAAAAGAGTATGGAGTGAAAACCTCTGTTAAAATGTCTCGGTTGGGTGGGGGGAGCTCTCTGAAGACTACCCGGTGAGCACATGTAACTTAAACCTTTTTTTCTTGGTTTTAGGAAAGATACGTGGCAAGCCTGATGCCTTTGCAGAAAAGTATTTCCCCGTGGAAGGTATGAGTGTATTCACATAAATTCTTCGGTTGGATCTCAACAGTAATCAACTCCTGTGAGTGCATTCATTTCTAATTTTTAAAATATAGTATGTCCTGTTTTGTAGAGCCCTCCCCAATTAAGACAGTTCATTCCAGATGACTTTATGAAAACACTCGAGAAAGCAGGACCTCAGCTGACCTCCAGAATAAAAGGCGATTGGATTGGGCTTTACCGGTTAGTCTGTTTCCGTGTTCTTTCGTTTGTTATTTATTTGTATTTTAAGTCATGATTAGACTTTCTTTTTAAAATAACTTATCTTTGTAGGCATTTTTTAAAATCTCCTAATTTTGATGGCTGGTTCAGGACCCGGCGGAAGGAGATGACCCAGAAATTGGAAGCACTCCATCTAGAAGCTCTTTGTGAAGAGGTTAGAAAGCAGTGTGCTTATGTAGTAGTTAACAACTAGTGAAGACAGAGTTACCCTTAGAGGTTGGAGGATTATACTTCTTGATAGAGACTACTAATGCTAACTCTCCTAGATCATAATCTGTGACCCAGGGGCTTTCCATGGAAGCTCTCTTTTGATCTTCACAATTCACCGAGGCAGGCTGTGTTAGGAGCTGCATGAAGAGAAACCTGAGGCTTGGAGAAGGCACGTGACTGTCTCAAGTTCCTGTCACTGCTCAGCAGTGGAGCCAGCGCTGTGGAAGAGTATGTGCACCACAGAAGCTAACAGATGCAAAAGCAGAGACTTTTGGGGGAGAGACCTCTGTAAAGCATTTCTTAGTATACCACTGGAGAGAGCCAGGATTCTAATCCCAGTGGTGTAACTGTAGTCCTGAATTCTTGTCCCGATTCTTGGTCTCACTAGTTAATGGTAACCATTTTTCATATGTCTAAGCTGACTTTTTCATATTCCACAACTATGATGTCCAAGCTATTTAAAATTAAACTATTTGTGAGTATATAAAGGATAGTCTCTAATTTTTCATTTGTACTTAGCATTAAATCTTGAAGCGGGCCAGTTCCAGGGTTAACTTTCTAATTATAAACCCAGTCACAATTTTGAGAAAAGGATCCTGATGAAAACAGCCACCCGAAGCTCAGGAGAGCTTGTTTGCAGAGGCAAAGCTTGTGTTCACAGCTTAACTGGTTAGCTAATGGTTCTTATGAAGTATATAGGCAGTTCTGAACAAGATCTGTTCCTGTGTCTTTAGCATTTGTAGGTCAGTCAGAACAGGTGGACATGGTCCTTCTGTAGCCTGATGGTTAGTGTGGGAGGCCATTTCAGTGACTCGCAAGCTGTGCATACAGCAAGTGAAGGTGATTGTAGTAAAGCGCTGCTGTGAACTGTGACCGCAATCACAATAAAAAGTTTAAGAAGAGAAAAAGAATTAGTTGTAAGGGATGGTTCAGTCATTTCAAAGTGAGGGGAAATTTACGTACTACTAAAGCAGGACTTCCAAGATGTCAGCCAACTGCACTACTTTGATGGTGTGTGGCATGCCACAGTCCTGCTGGTGAGGCAGTCTAACACACTGGGTTCCCGAAAGGGATCACTAGACCTTTCTTGAATGTCCCAATCCCAAAGCTTCAACCTATAATTTCTCCTATTCTGGTTACCACCAGGGAGTCACTCTCATTATAAAAATTCTGGTTTGTTCCTGTTTCACTTTGTTGGCCATGGCAGAACCAGTTTGAAGCTTTATGTTGAATTTAGAACAGGTAAAAGTTGTCTGTAAGTCTGAATGTAAGACTTTTGTAACCCAGGGAAGGGGCTTAGTTTTGTACTTAGAATTGCAGTTTTACTTTTTCTTGATTGACCTAAAAAGCCACCCTCAAAAAGAAATTTTCTGTACTTCTAAGTATTAGATAGTCATTCTGGTTAGTGTTGAAAGTTAACCACTTGAGAGATATTAGGATATTAGGTACAAGTGTATAATTATCCTAGTACTTTACTGAAATATCTAGTTTAAAATATCCAGTTTTCCCATTTCTCCTTTTCCAGTAACCTCTCCTATTAAAATAGGTATTTTTTTAATGTCCAATTTAGACTTCTTTGTTCTTCCAGGACTTACTTCTCTGGATCCAGAAACACACAGAAGTAGAAACAGTGGACCTTGTTTTGAAGCTCAAAAATAAGCTGGTATGTTATCAAAACAGGTAGAACAAAAGACTTTTCTGGAAGATGTTCTCTTTTTACATCTTCTTGGGTTGAAGTGAGTGAAAATACCTGGTTATTCAAGTAGATCATAATGATGCCATTATATTATAAAATCATTTACATAGGCCAATGAATTGTAGAAAAACATTTTAATTTAAATTTAATACTACATAGCATGTCTAGATATTTATTATCTGTATTTACATAAAAGCCTTTTATTGAGCCTGATAATGAATTATGTATGACCTGTTTATTGCCTTTTTTTAAGGTTCTGTAAATTTTGGTCTAAATGAAGTCTGAATGTTTCCCATTAATGGAGTCCATTAAAACGGTTTTATCTACAGAATATAATGTGTTTGGTATAAATTCAGAAGATTGTTTAAATGTTACTAAATGTCCCTCCTATAGGTGCAGGCTGATCGAGATCATTTACCTTTGAAACCTGATACTATGGAAAAATTAAGGACACACATAGATGCAATCATCTTAGCGTTACCAGAGGACCTACAAGGCATTCTGCTCAAGACAGGCATGACATGACCTTTGCCAAGATAGTGCAGCCCAGATGACTGTGAACCACGAAGCACACCGCCATCTCACCCAGACGCACAAAAAGAGATGTTTCCGTGGCAAAGAAGTCGCAGTCAGTGGTGAATGTTGGACACGGGGTGGAAAGACTGTCCTGTCTGAACAGACTGCTTTAGTGCATTATTTTTGAAAGCGGATCTCTGTGCGGCTCCACTTTAATACTGAACCACCAAGAGGCATTTCTATATTTTTAATCATGTTCTAAAGTGCTCTTAGGCGAGACCTGCGGGGCCATCCGTGATTCCAAACTGCAGTGCTGGCATTGCAGGTATTTTTTTAAATCGGTGCTGCTTTGCCCAATCATGTTAAAACTCAGGGGGATACGAAAATAACATTCACACTGGCTATCTTCCACGAAGGAGGACGAGACTGACTTGTACAACTAGCGTTAGACGTCATCAGTGCTTATGGAGTGCCTTCCACTGTCCTACTTGTTTCATGAAGCCTAGCTGCTTGTCTCGAAGCTTCTCTCTTATCTTCATTATGATGTATAATTTTATAAGGCATTCTACTGAGTAACCCGGAGCCCTGTTGGCTTACTGGTTACGAGTCTGGCTGCGATCTGCAAGGTCAACAGTTGAAACCACCAGCTGCTCTTAGGGAGAAAGATGGGGCTTTCTACTCCCCAAAAGTTACCGTCTCGAAAAACTCACCAGGGCAGTTCTACCCTGTCCTCCTGTAACGGTCTCTTGAGTCAGCATTGATTCGATGGCACTGAATCTGGTTTTTGGTAGTGAGTAACCAGTGCTTACAAATGAATTGCTTGCTTCCCAGTGTTTATTAGTAAGCTTTTTTTGTTTAACTTCTCCCTTGCTGTTATAAGGTTTTTATTAGCATTTTCAAAATTTAATCATCCATTTATCCAAAGACAAGAATGTATTCGTATTAATTGTGGAGTAGGAAGGAATAGTTAATTGTCTCTTAACTTGTACTAATTGGGCTTGTTCTGATTAATTAGCTTGGGTGTTTCTCATAGATAGTCTTAATTATAAGCTGATTTTTATTTTTTAAGCTAAACTAATTTCCAATGTATTTGTAAACCTCTGTGATATCCTTTGTGAGTGGCTAAAAGAATGGTGTTCAGTAGCATTATTTGTTTGGTAGGGTTTTCCTTCCCTCTAACTTCTAATTAATTTCTCATAACACTCTTCATTTCGACTATTGTTTGACATGAGCTCTTATGATTAAGTCATTGGGATAGCTAAGTTTTTATGTTGTTTTGTTTAAACCATACAACCTTGCCAAAAAACAGAAGACTGTGGTTTGGTAGGGTATGATGGCTTGGTTTGTGTTTGAATAGGAGTGTCCTACAGAAGCTACTATACAAGTGGGCTTCAAAAAGTTTATGGAAAAATGAAAAGGTAATGGGATCTTTCCACAAACTCCTTGAAGCCCCGCAGTTTAAAAGACGCACACATGACCTAGCACATATGTATATAGCTGTGACTTACCCTTTAAGTTACCTGACTGAGGTGAAGTTACTCATCAAAGAAATGGCTTTTGAAGTGCTGTTGGTGTAACTCATGGAGACTCCCGACCCAAGAAAGGCTCCCTTTCTTTGTAACTGTGGTCTGATACCCAAATGTGCCCTTTTCTTGTGGACACAGTCTCTTCAAGAATACCTCAAAGTCAGAGACAGAAAGTGGCATTTGAAAAAAAAAATCATTTGCCTTTAAATCCAATGAGTTACTTGGTGGAACAGCAGTTGGCCTTACAGAAAGGCAAGCAACTGCCTTTTCTATGCTACCATTTCATGTGTTTCTGGGAAAGCTTAAAGAAGTATAAACTGTCATCATCTTATTTTTCAAAAAAGTGTATTTTAGTAATTTTACAATTTATATCTCCTGTGTGACCAGAATCTGAAAGTTGTTCACGTCCTCTCAAGGATCTTTTAAACTAAACCACTGTCTTTCATGTTTGTGTTGCACAACAAAGAGTAGATAACGAGGCCAACTAGTATGATAATGGTGTCTTCTCATTTTCTGTGTTTAAATGAAACTTGGAACGTGTTGGAAACCATGTCACTCTACTGGGGTTTATCATCTAACTTCAAGTTATGTTCTTTTGAAAATAACTTGAAGTTACATTGGGAACCTGAGAATGACTGGGTAACTTAATTTGTGTGATTTCCAGAGTTTTATTTTTTACTTTTTCAGAGGAAACCTTGTTAATATCTAAATCCTGCCATTTAAATGTTTACCTCCACCAGCATCAGAAGGAATCACTGCTTTTAGGGTGTTATGGAATGCCTTGTGCCTTCTATTTACAGTGTAAAAGAGGAATTTTGTGAAGGCATTTATGGTCATTACTGAAAACAATTAAAGGCCTTGGATTTTAAACCACTTGGCTATCTTGTGTTATTTCTGAGTAGGGCTTGAATACTTTTCTAAACGTGTGTATTCTGGAGTTCCTTTTACTTCTTGAGAGGTTTTGTTTGTTGGCTTTTTGTTTTTTATTTAAGTGTAACCTTCTTCCATGTGTTACTCCATGAGCTGGTGAGGAGTCCATCTTAGTAGCAAGCAGGTCATCGGAGTGATTTCATATTCTGCCCAGCAATACATTGATTTTATGAAATATTCTGATGAAGATATTTTAGTTTAATAATCTAGGTATTGCTAGATTTTCCCTTTCTTTTATTTTAAACCTTATCTTTTTCATTTTAATAAATCATCTTATTGGGGGCTCTTACAGCTCTCTTTTTTTATATACTCTTATAACAATCCATATATCACTTGTATCAAGCACATTTGTACATATGTTGCCATCATCATTTCCAAACATTTTCTTTCTACTTGAGCCCTTGGTGTCAGCTCCTTTTCGCCCCTCCCTCCCACCCTGCCACCCTCACTAATTTATAAATTATTTTTATGTTCATCCCTGGGGTGGGATGCTATGATAAGTTCCCCTTTTCTTCTCCCCCCCTCCCCCACCTTCTCCCTATCCTCATGGTATCATTACTTTCATTATTGTTCCTGAGGGGTTTGTCTGTCTTGGATTCTGTATGTCAAGAACTCTTACCTGTACCATTGTACATGTTCTTGCCTAGCCAGATTGTAAGGCAGAACTGGGGTTGTGATAGTGGGGAGGAGGAAGCATTAAAGAACTGGAGGAATGTTGTGTGTTTCATAGGTACTATATTCATAGGTGGCTCGTCCCTTGTGACCCTTCTGTGAGGGGATGTCCAATTATGTAAGATTTTTAAATCTTTAAGATTATTTTTTTTCTCTCTTAAAAGAAGCTCTATGATATATTCTTTGGATTTTAACTTATTAGTGGTTTGAAGACATTGGGTTTTCTTCCTTTTTGAAGTTACAGACTAGTATTGCTCATAATATACTATAAAATATTTTAGTTAACTTTAAAGGAGATGGCATTAAAAATTTGTCTTTTTGTGTTTAACTTGTTTGTAACTTAGTTTTTGCAAACTTAGATTTTATTAGCTTTCTCCTTTTCTGTGAAACTTGAGGTTTAAAATTGTAAGTCCTAACTTTCTAATGGTAGTTCTCTAAAAGTGGATAATTGAAAATTTTCTCTCATTATAGATATTTTCAAAGTAACAAAATGTGAGTTCAGTGACTAAATTCTTATAAGTAACTTGATATTCCTTCAACTTTACAAGATATGTTACTTATTTGCCATTTGAACTTGGCACAATTGTAGTACTGTGTCAATAGACATTAGAGCTGTTAAAAATATTTTGTTTCCAATTACACTTCTCATTTTGAAATAGATGGAACTGTTTGATGTAAGATACATAATCATGCTTCCTCAAACTGATCTCAAATCTTTCAAGCTTTTTTTTTTTTTTCTATCAAGCTTTAATTTAGCAGTTAGGTAAAGAAACTTTGTTTTGCAGTTACTACATTAAGTGCTGATGTCCAGATGTTGAGAGGAAAGGGAGCTCTGTTACATCCCAATCTCCAGTGTTATAGCTGAATTTATGAAAGCAGCCTTTCTCTGCCACTTCTTATGGGGATTCTATGCTGGGTCCTCCAGATCGAGCTTAATCCTATCGCGTAGT